TGAGAACCTGGTCCCTGGAACTGATTCAAGACACTTGCTTTGGTGGAGGGCCCCCAGGGGACTCATTCTCCCTATCTGTCCTTCCTTTGCTTGCCTGGCCGTCTCTAGATAAATTACCACTTGCCAACGGGTCTTAGAAATATCTTAGAACGGCGTTTGTCCCGCTGCATATGTCGTTACTCAGAATAGAACCTACTTAAACCCAGCTTGGGATCCATTGGTAACAGATTTAGAAAAAGTCAACTATCTTTGGCAGCTCTAAAGTTCACTCCCCTCGAGAAGCACCCTCTTGTAATATTTTAAAATATACAATAATATGAGAAAACTCTTGGGGACTTGAGTTTCTGTCTTAACATTTGAGATAGATTTCCCCCTTGGAAGGGAAGCAATAAGAATAAACATTTTCAAAAGTCAGCTTCAACGTGTAATTATCAACAAACCAAACACACTTCTGTTTGGGGAGATGATGGCCTTGGGTGCAGGGCAGACAGGACTCAACTGCAGTTCCTACGAAAGGCTCAGCTTTAAAAAAGGAAAGTTGATTGATTAATATAAAATGTCATAGAAATGTCCAAGTGTTGGCTCCCTGAGGTGATAAAATACCAGGTTTTGGGTAACCTGCCAAGCTCCCACGTCAGGATTAATTGGCAGTCATATTAGTAACAGGCGTGACACAGGCGGTGCTATTGTTGGCATATCCCTTTGACTTGTACAAAATGATCACATGAAAAAAACAAAGAAATATTAAAAATTCTACTAATTATTACATATTCTACACACTTGTGTGGTCTGGTAGCTGGAAAAAGCTCAGAATATTTAAATCAAATATTCTGATGGATTGTACTGATCGCTTATTTAAAGTAAATATCTTTGGGAGGTGTAAATATTGGGAAAATCTGTATTTGGCATCGCAATACATCTCTTAACTCTGGTGGTGTAAAGTGAAGACTTCTCACAGTGACATTTGTAGGCCCCTGGTTTCCATGGTCAAATGGAGAATACAATGCTTGTAACCCATTTAACTCCTACGTGTTAGAGTATTTGAGTATCGAATTCGAATATTGAATATTAAAATACTGTATTTTAGAATATCGAAAATCATCTCTATCTGAAACAAGACTTTACATCCGGGAAGACTAGCATGCCTTACCTTTCAAGAGACCTAAACAAAGTCCATTTGTACTGGATAGGAACAGACAAGACCAGAAATGATTTCAGACCTCTTCTCAGAGTCTGGGTGTGGCAGGAGGGCGATTATCCAAACCTGCTAAATACCCAGGACTCCACTGGCTGTGACCAAGTGAAAAATTTAAGTGTTGTGTTTTAAAAGGAAAGCTGCCAATGGGTGTTCTGTAAATCATTTGTGCCAGCAGACTGACCCCATTATGTCAGCTAATCCTGGAAATACAGGAGGTAAATTTAAATCTTCTAGCATGAAGCACTTAATCAATATTCTAAATGTTTTTCTTGCAATTTATGCTAGCAGAGCAATGGGGCGCTTTGGCGTCCCGTTAATCTTCCAGTGGAGAAGTGCTTGAGAGCAAGGCCAGGGTGGTGGGATTTTGTACAGGAAGCTGGAAGGGGTGGGGGGAAGTGCTTATTTCCAAACCAGGCGCCTGGCGTGAGGACTCTCTACCTCTCTACTCACTCCACCCTTTCCGGTGGGCAGAGCTACCCTGCAGGCACCCCTCAGCCCCTTCTTTTTCATCTGCTATTGACAGCCAAATGCTGCTTTGCTGGGAAGAGCATGAGCTTGGGAGTTAGTTGGACCTGAGTGAGAATCCCAGCTTACTTCTTATTGCTGTGTGACTGGGGGCGTGTTTCTTACCCTCTCTGAATGTCTGCTGTAAAATATTATCCACCTCTTGGGTTTGTTGCGATGATAAAAAGGACTGATACCTGTAAGCAAAGGGCCCAACAGGTTTGGCCAACCCTCTGCATTGGGAAAGCGGCATCACTCTTATTGTTATTGAATAGATATGTTAGTGCTTTAAATCCGGACACCGGGGCTGTGAAGGAAGGCCTGGGGGTCAGGGACCATGGAGGGGGAAAGATCAAGCTCCTTAGATATTGCTTCCTTAGTTTGTCAGAAGTGTTTGAACCAACCAAGGGGTATCCTGCTGGTTCTAAGATGTGGCCATTGTAGAAAGACGTGAGGGAGGAGGGGAAGGAGTAGGGTGGTCCTTGGACACCAGGCTGAGAAGAAAGACAACCCGAAAGGCAAT